GGGGGGGGGGGGGAGGGAGAGGGAGAGGGAGAGGGAGAGGGAGAGGGAGAGGGAGGGAGAGGGAGCACTAGGTACATTTGTGGTAGCGAAACCAGTCTCCCTCTATTGTTGAAAAAAGAATGTGAGAGGGTTTTTTCCATTCAGTCCAACAATTTTAACCTGTCAAATTTTGACTTGAGTCTCACATTAAAAGCATGGGAATCTAGTGTGAGGTAGGGGATTTATGAAGGCTTGGGCTCTCCCATGTAGTGTGGTTCTACCTAGGCTCAATTGGTACTAGAGCTTTCCACCATGTCTCTCAGTTTCAAACTGGCATTGCTTTGGACTAGTCAAAGGGCTAGTGCATGGCTACTCCATGTGTGAACTAAAGATGTTAGGATCCAATTGCACGAAATGAGACTAGAGTCTCACATTGAAAGTATAGAGTCTAGTATAGGTTTATCAGGCTTTGGGTTCTTCAACTATAATTGTTAGCTTTTGTGGTGTGGTTCTCCTAAGGATGTTATCAAATTGTTGTTACTCTAAAGTTTTGTTAACAGCATAGTTTGATTTTTTTAAGATCGAAATGAGATAGATGTTTGAGTATTCTGTTTCTCTAATGGATGTCTGATAATTGCCAATAGGTGTTCTCAATGTTGATTGTTACTAACAGATGTTTTTACAGAGGTGATGTGTTTTTCTTTGGAGTCAGGACTCCCATGTTCAAAAACAATTTTGATGAAGAACATTTTCCCTCTTTAAATGCATTAGTTTTGAGAGTTGTTGCTAGAGCATGCAAAGCTATAGCCTGTAGTATTGTTCTTTTGGGTAATTTTCAGTTCACAATCACACAACATAGCTGTATTCTATGAAATTCCACCAAAGTGGATAGTGATGACTGAAAAGAGAGTTGGAATATAAAGTAAAATACATATTTCTCCCTTGAGAGATGCTTAAATTGCACTATCTTACCCTGTTATTTAAAAATTGTGCCCCTTTTCCTTGAGAGATCAATATGTGTCAAACTTTAGTCTATTCAATGTAAACTACTCTATTAATGGTGGATAGAAACAATGAACGAACTTCTTGAGAGTACTTTTATTTTCTATTGAACTTTTAGGGTCGCTGGTAATTAATTCTGAACATTGTATTATCAATTTTTGACTTCAATAAATGTAATGATGTTCTGAATACTCATACTATTGTTTTTGAAACTTCACTCAGAATCATTATTCATCTTCTAAAGTCTATGTTAATAGGAGGAAATCAAAACTAGTGTGCAATATTGTTGAAAGTCATAAGAGAAAAAATTGACCCTAAGATATTTGTTTATATTAAAATAGTTTAATATGTAGTACATAATAGTCTCTCAGGGGGAAGAGTGTGTAATTTTTAAGAGAAATAATGTTGAGTGTGTAATTTTGTACATCATGGCTTTTGTTGACAATAGAGGCCGACCATTTCATGACAATTAAGCCAGTTTCATTAGTCACCATGCCCTTCCTTTCTGGTTTATTGTTATTTAACTATGATAAACTATTATGATACATGTTTCTGATATGGTACTATGACTATTCTAATTTCAGTTTATTTGATGGCAGGATCGAAAGCAAACGGTGCAACAATTTGATGAGTTCTTGAACACCAAGGTTGCCCCTAAAGAACTTGTTGATGAAATAAAGGTACTTAAGAATTTTCTTGATCTATATCCTACTAAATTAGCTGTATTTATATCCTAATGCATTTTGGAGCATATATTTTAAATGTTAATTAAGAAACACTATATCTGTTTCTGAAAATTTACCTTATATGTTTTATGTAATTTTTTTATGTCTCTTCCTCTGAGCTTGTTCTCTTTGAATGAAATTGCTGGGAACTCTAGGAAATTGGAAAGGCTCTTCTACCAGCATCTACCAATAATAAGGCTCTTCCTGCTCCAGTAGACCAAACTTCAGAGCTTGCTACAGCTGATAGCACTGTACAGACAGCAGTAGCTACTCCCGAGTCCAAAGTGGATGCAGCAGCTCCTGAAATAAACTCAGTGCCCAAAACTGAAGCCAAGGCAGAAGAATCACTTCCTGCACCACCAAGACCACTTTCACCATACCCATATGTAATGTCTTGATTTACTTTCTGTGCTGATTATTTATGCTTGTGGTGGCCAATTTTCTTCAAGCTTTTCTTTCATGTATATTGTTGTTCTAGTTTGATTATTATTGAGAAGGACTTAATTCTCATGTTGACTAAAGATAAGTGGGAGATGATACTCGAAAATGAATCCTTTTTCTTACGATGAGCGCTTCATATTTCTTCTCTCTCCTTGATACTAAGATGGTATCAAAACCTATCCTAGGTTCATCAAAAAAGAGCCACACACCAAACCCAATATTATTGAACTTGAGGGAGTGTATTGGAGAAAACCTAAGTTATACATCTACTAGAGATAAGATTAAAATATAGTATATAAGTGGGGAAAAATTTTACTTTAAAAGTTAGTTTTATAGGATTGGGTTGCACTTAAACCCACATTTTAAAAATTGATTCCATCAAATAGAATCTCTTTATTAGAGTAAGATAAATAATTGCATCGTCATTCATTTGTGAAGTATTGAATGAAGTTTGGTAAGAATGTGGAGTTGCATGTGAGAGGGAAAATCATATTTCACAAGGTTTTCAAAATTGTTTTTAGTAATAAATGTTAGTAAGCTGATGTATGAAGACTATTTTTCTGCTTATACTTCATGCTCCTGACAAATCTCTGCTTTGCTTTCTGTTTTTTTCTTGAATTTCAGTATCCAGATTTCAAGCCTCCAACATCTCCTACCCCTTCACAGCCCTAGACCTTCACTTCTTTTAACCTTGAAGAGAATTCAATAGAAGACAAATCAATTGTCCGAATATCCAGCATGTATCAAGAGCTGTACAATAATACTACAATCTATAATACTATCAGAAAGTCTTCAACTTGCATGCATCTTAATTTGAAGATAAGATCCGTGATGTGAGTTGTATAATTTTAAAGTTTGTTATAATTATCCTTCCACTTGTGCTACTCGGTACACTTTTTTTGTAATTGATGGATGTGTTGTAGAGGTAGCTGTCAATTAACATTGTATTCATTTTGATATTTAGTAAAACATTCAATCTTTCAGTTTTGGAGTAAGCAAAATAAAATCTTATGTATGCAATTCTGCATTTGTATTCATCAACTCAAATTGGCTTTGCAATTGTGAAACATAACACTTCAGACTTGTTTAGCCGCCGGAAAAATAAAAAAGAAAAGAAAATATCTGATGTTAGACATTTTCTGAAAATATCAATATTAGATGGGTTTGATTTTAATACATTGATAGCGTGAAAATTTTTCACTGTCAATAAATTAAAAGGAAATTTATGTATAATTTTAAAGTAATTATTATAAAAATCTATAATATTTAATTACACGTAGCGTAAGAAAATTTGAGAAAAATATGTATGATAAACACTTATGCAAAACTTTGTGCAACGTGCTTAGTAAGTTGGTGGTTGCAGCATTTTGGTTAGGGTGTATTTTGGAGTCAGTTGAGTTTAAGGGTTTACGGTTTAAATCAATTTAGGTTGAAAAAAAATATACTCACAAACTTTTATTTTTTATTTTTGCATTGAAATATACGTTTTTTCATTAAATGTGATTTTAAATTAGTATTTAAACATACACGTAGTAGTAATTTGAGGATGCAATTTATCAAAGAGTTTATCCAATGTGGGTATCATGATATACATATTCATAATTTAATGAAGTGTAAAGAAGATGTAATGAATAATCAATACATAAATTATTCAATAAAACAAGTTGATGATATATATATATATATATATATATATATATATATATAATATTTTAAATATATATATAATTTAATTAGTACATACACTTAAAAACTTTCAAAATATTCCATTACCTTGCGTATCTAAGATAGTACGTAAATGAATAATTGTTTTTTGTATAACTCAAAATTAATTTACAGACCTAATTATTTTAAAATCTTTTTATATATATATATATATATATATGTACTTTATAAATTATTAACAAATAGAATTTTAATTAGAGTAAGTTTTACTCACATAAAAGAAAAAAAAACATATTTATTAATATGTTAATTTGAATGATTTTGAACTTGAATTTTTTAAGTGAAATGTTGAATTTAAATTTTGTAAATAAAAAAATATAATTAAAAAAATTCATTAAAACTAATCGATCACACATTATAACATTTACTTCCCTTACCTTTAAAATCTTCACTTAAAATAGAAAAATAGAAAAAATGATTAAAAATACTACAAGGGGAAAAGAATGAATTTGATTAGTTACTTTAAAAATTATATAATATTCATCTGTTTACTCTATTAAAAAAGTTGAAGTCAATAATTTATTTATTAAAATGAAACTAAAAAAATAAAACATTTTTAAAAGGGCAAGCTGAGCGAGTAACGGTAACTAGGCAGGGGTAGTTTGGGGAAAAGATGAAAATGGAGGCAAACTGCTTCCGTTTGAAAATTTCACAATTTCACTAACAAAGACAAAAATCAGAAAGAAGAGAAACAACAACATGCAAGAGCAAGAGGCGAAACCGAAGAAAACCAAACCGGAAGAGTGAAGCTTCGTTTCGTTTCCCTCTGTTCCTTCTTCCACTGAATCCCATGGCGAGAGTGAAGCACACGCCAGCTTCTCGCAAGCCTGGTACGTTTCAATTTCAATTTTTTGCTTTCGATTTTCGCTAAACCCTCGTTTCCGCAAACTCCTCGCAGGTAGGAAGAACAAAGCGCCGCCAGAATCACCGCAAGCTCAATCGGTAACCCTCTCTCTCTTTCTCTTCACGTTTCCGATTTGTGAAATCCCTAACGACCTTTGTTTTCTGAATTTCAATACTGTGAATGAAGCCCGCAACTAGAGAGAGGAGGAGGAGAGCTGAACAAGAGTTGCCGCAGGGTATGTATGTCGCATTTTTTAGTTTGTTTTGTGTTGCGTTGCGTGGTCGCAGTAGAATGTCGTTTTAATGTTTTGTTATCATTTGTTAAAAGAGAATGAAGCAGCGGCAAGGACTCACGGAAGAAAGAAAAGGCGCAGTAAGCCGGGAACTGCGGCGCTTCGCGAGATTCGTCATTATCAGAAGTCTTGCCAGCTTCTTATCCCAGTCGCACCCTTTATTAGATGCGTGAGTTTTTCTGCAACATTTCCTCTCAAGCGAGAATTAGCCAATTTTATGCTGCTTGTACTAGGAATGATCATAATAATATGTAATGTGATGTTATGTTGAATTAGGGTATGTTGTTGCTGTTTAGATTTTAGTCCAAACTTTGGCAATTTTACCAAAAAAATTAATCATTATGGCTGCCTATCAATCTTTTACTTCTGATTTAGGAGTGTGTTTGGAAACATGTTTGATTGGCGTTGATTGGAAGTTTTACACGTTCCAATGCAAAAGTGTAAGAGCTAGAGTGGTGTTGGATGGAATGGATATGCAAACAAACACTAGTTAAATTAGGGAGTTGAGTTAGTTCGCAGATACTGTTAGCAGAATTAGTTCTCTCCTTTTATCATGTATTCACCACAGCTACAGATAGCTGAAACCGAAATTAAATTTCAAAATCTGGTTTTAGAAGGACAAAATTTGGATACAGTTATTTCGTTACTTTTGGTGGTGTTTGTTTTAATTAGATTTAAAGTTTTGTCTCGATTATTTGCGTAATGAAGGATTGTATTAAATGCTAGTGTTGGTTACCAAGATGAAGTGCTAATTCTGATTGGAGAGCAACATAAAAAATATCTAAGGAGTTGCATCTAATCTAAGTTTTTCTGTTTTCATAATTCTTCATTTGTAGCTTCTTTTCACTCTAACACTACCGGATTTAAACTTAGGCATAAAAAATAGGCATTATAGTTTGGTTGCTTTGTTTATTTTTTTATAGGAATATTTTTGTAACTTGTACCACTTATTCACTTAGGCCTGAAAAGGTTGTTCTTACCATTGTTGTAATGTTTTTACTTGTGGTTGTAGGTCAAAGAGATAACGCATCAATACTCTACGGAGGTGTCTCGTTGGACACCCGAAGCTGTGTTAGCACTTCAGGAGGTACTTAAAATAGTGTGTTACTTGACTGATTCTACTGTTTAAATAGTTCAATTAGTTTTGTAATTTAAAGTCATATTTCATATAAAACATGATCATTTTTTTAGATTTTTATATAACCATACTGCAGGCAGCTGAGGAATATCTGGTTCACTTGTTTGAAGACGGAATGCTCTGTGCAATTCATGCAAAGCGTGTTACTCTTAGTAAGTTGTAATTTTTTTAAATTCTTGACTATGATTTTCCTTTCATCGATCATGAAATCATTCATGAATTTATCTTTCAGAAATTCCATGCTGCTTTTCCTGGCAATGAATGGATTTCTTTTTTCTTTGTTACAGATAAATAAATTATTTTATTGATTTATTAGTTACATTAAAATGGATATTCTACAGTCTGTAATATGTATGATGGAGTTTGCTTTGGGGGATGCAGTGAATACTAGAGGAAAAAAAATTATGGTGTAGTGTCTGGGATAAAAATGTATATTTTTATAAAGCAGCATGCATTGTTTGAATTGACAAAAGCACTTGGAGTTCTAACTTGATATGTCCATTCACTCCCATCATTTTAATTTGTGTGACCATTTATAAAGAATGCTACATTTGCTGAATTCAGAAAGTCATAAATGTGCATTGTGGACTGTTTGTTACCTCTGGTCTTGTAAAAGGTTGCAGTATCAAGAAGGCAATTAAAGACAGTGATTAACAGTTTTTGTTATAGAAAAATGTCATTCTTAAGCTGAGATCTTTGTATTGCTATAGTTGGGGGACCTTGTGTCATACTGTCCTCGATGAATTTTAGTAGCTAAATATTTAATGAATAGAATACTTGAACATAAATTTTTTTTGGGGGGAAAATAAAATAATGGGCAGAATACTGAATCAGAACCTTGGTTAGCTAACATACTGGTATTTGCCAAAGATCCGTAGTAGTCAATAGCGGCACTATAGTGCAGTAGCAAAGTGGAGAAGCCATAGGCCACTATGGGATTCAAAAATAGCAGCCACAATAGCGGCGCTGCCATAGGTTTCAAAAACCATTTTTACCTCAAATAATTCTGCTTGCGGTTTTTTTGGGGCAAAATAATGATTTCTCCTCGATTTCTAATGCATTTTTTCCTTATAAAACGTAATAGGATTTGATACCCTTCTTCCTTGACCCTTCCTCAAAATGTTGCCTTTGTTTTGACCTTTTTTCCTTCTTGCTAATTTTTCATGAATATTTTTTCCCTCTGTTCCATTCTATTCTTCCTTTAAATGTTCTAGTTCACAATAGGCTAATTTTTGTATAGTTTGTCTAGTTATTTTATATTAATTTTGCAATTACCTTTCATTTTCTTACTTCATTACTATGTTCTTATTGCTCCTAGGTTGGCAGTGATTGTGTCCGTAAACTGTACTTATTATTTATCATGATTTCCTTCATTTATTTTTTTATTCATTTTTGAGTATTTAAATGTGCAGTATAAATTATTTAGTTTGTACCATAGTATTTAAATAACAGTCATCCCACTTCATGTTATAATGTTTTCAGAGTTGGCTGCAAGATTGATAACTATGCAAAGATCATTCTTGTAGTTTATTATTTGGTTTATTTATTTATTTATTTTTTCTCTTTCAGTAATCTCACTAATATATGTTGTATTTGTTTTTCTTGTTTGTTGCCTCAGTGAAAAAGGATATTGAGTTGGCTCGGAGGCTTGGAGGAATAGGAAGGCCTTGGTGAATGCACAATGCCATTGGTGTTTTTATTTGTAAGAATACATTAGAGATCAGAGAGTACAGGGGATTTCAACGCTAATATTAGGAACAACACTAATGTAATGCAAATCATTATATCTTTGTAGGTGAAACAACAATTGTAGAACGGTTTGCGATATTCTCCGACTTTAAATTGATGTGTGACGTACTAGTGTAACATTGTAGCAATGAAATATTTCAACATTATTGCCGTTCATATTAATTTTATGTTGCAGAAGGAATTTTAGAGTCCACGGAGACACTGCAGAACGTAATTTCCTCTTCTTTAATTTGTTACAATTTCATTTTTTCTTTTTCTGAAACAAACTAGTGAAAATGCTTAACTTATCTATATTAGATTATTTCAATAATTAATTAAAAATCAATTTTTTTTTATCTATATTGTTAGTAAAGGTAATATATCTTTTGTATATAATTTTTTTTTTTTTTTTTTTTTTTATCGTTTTGTCTTTTATTTAGACATTTTTTTTGTCACATTTTTCAATTCTATTTTTTCTCTACTTTTAAATTTATTTTTCAAATTTCTTACACCCTCTATATAACTATTTAAAATCACTTATACTTTCTAATTATTAATTACTCATACATATATAACTTTAGATAGTTTTATCATTTATTTTATTTTTATTTTTTAAAAAAAATATATGGAGCACAAATGTTTATTTTCCTTCCTATTTTAATTAATTTTTAAAAAGTGATTTTGATATATTTAATTTTGTTGGGATATAAATTAGTTTTACGTAATAAATTAGTTTTAAGGGGGGAAAAGTCAAAAATAAACAAATTTGAAGTTATTAAATGCACGAGAATAACTTTTTTTTCAAAAAAGAAATCCCAAATTTTGACTGTCGTCTTAAACATATAAATTATTTCCACAAATTGTTTAAATAGTGAGAAATAATCTTTCACAAATACATGGGAAAGAATAAAGGCAGTCAACTTACAATTATTTATTGAATAAAAAATGTTTAAATCCACAGTTCTATCAAATTTAAATAATCATTATTTAAATAATATAAAATATCTATAAAAATTAACTCTACTTTATTTTTTTTTTCTATTTTCTTTGGATTAAACAACTTTTATTTCTATTCTATTTTTTTATACTTCTCCACTCTTCTCTTTTTTTTTTTTTTCCTTCCTTTTTCCTTCATTTCTTTCTTTCTTACAAAACACAACGTAAAAGAAGAGGAGTTAAAAAAAAACCCAACATTGAGATTCAATTATGTTATTAATGTTTAACATGACATTTATCTAACTAGAGGTCAATGCTTATATTTTGAGATAAATTATAATAATTAATAATATAATTTTTGTGGTAAATATGTAGAATACTATTTATTACACAATAAGTAAACTACAAAAATTCTATTATTCATGAAAACTAATATTTTTTTATCATAGTATGAAAAGAAATTGTAACTAAAATCTTAAAACTTTCTAGTAATTTTGAGTTCGATAGTTGATATTTAACGATTATATCTTTATAATTTTTTAATGTTTGAATACAAGCAAAGTTTTACATCGATAAAATAAGAAGAAAAATAATAATTTATAAAACATATACATACTCAAATGATTGAGAGGTCGTTTTGGATGATAATTAAAAGCAACATCGTGAGGGTATCCCTCTCCTCTTGATAAATATAAGGGAGATATATTGAATTGGGAGTTCGAAAGACAATTTTAGTATGAAAAAATCTTGTGAATTTTAAAAGACTTTGTAGGAATGTCATAACTTTTAGGATTTTTTTAAAAGACTTTTAAAACTTAGATTTTAATCAAGACTTTGTAATTCATATTTTAATGAATTTTTATGGATTTATATTATAAAATTTTAAAGGATTTTATGGGGAAAATATAACAAATAATAAAGAAAAGTAAAATCGATATGATTTTTCTGTCTTTTGATAAATGTTTGTCTCTATCTTTTGACAAATAATTAACTTTAATATCCTCCTAATTAACATTTATTCATATATCTATATTAACCCTCCATGTATTGACCTATTTTCTTTCATGCACTTAGTCTGAACAATGTGTTTAAAATTATGGTCTTTATTAATTGGTAGCATTGAAGATAAGTATTATCTAGCATTATATGCTAATACAAATTCAACTTGTGTCTAAAATAAATAAAAAATTGATCTCTACTTAAAAATTATGAAGTGTGATTTAAAAATAGTAAATATTTTCTCAATCATAGTTCTTAAGGATGCATAGTGTAAATTGAAAACTTCATTAATATATATTTCAAATTTTTATATTTTAATATTAAATTTTATTAAAAATAAATAATTAAAATTTAATAATTAAAAAATTTTAACAATAGATAATATTTAATAATAAAAAAAATTATTTTAAATATTTAATAATTTAAAAATAAATATTGATAAATTATACATCTATTGATAGATAAAAAAAGATAAGAGAAGAAGAAGAAGAGATAAATGAGAAAGATAAATAAAAATACGAGAAAAAAAGACTTAGAGACAAATGAGAGAGAGAGAGAAGCAAGAAACAAGAAGAAGAAGAAGAAGAAGAAGAAGAGAGAAACAAGAATGATGAGAGAGTAAAGGAGAGAAAAAAAAAAGAATACGAGAGAGAGAAACAAGAAAGGTAAGAGAAAAAAATTTAAGAGGAAAAAGTAAAAATAGAGGAGAAAAAAAGTCATGCAAAATCTTAAAAGTTTTGATGAGATTGTTTGATAAGTGAATTACATATAAATTATACTAAAAAGTCTTACAAAATTCAATATTTAAAACAATTCATTAAAATCTCTATATTTTTTAATACTAACATACTTTTTTTTAAGTAAAAGAAAATTGTAATTAAATATCATTAGATTTTGATGGACTCTTTAAAAAATCTAGACTATCTTAATTAAATATCACTAGATTTTGACAAACTCTTAAAAAAATATTAATTGAATATCACATGATTTTTTATATTAATTTTTTTTAATTAAATATTACAAAACTTTTTTTTTTTATAAAAAAAAACTTTTAAAATCTATTGAAATCCTAATTCAGCATAAATATCCCCTTAAAAATTTTATAACATAATACCAATACTATTTGGAAAAGTTAGAAAAAAATAGCAAAAATAAAAAATATGAGTTAAATTTCTAATGATAGTTTTTCATACTATAATCCTTTTTAATTGTACCTAGTATGAAAAATCTCATCTAATTTGAAAATCATTTGTAAAATGACAACACTATTTTAAATTCCATTGAATGAAAAGGGCATAAACTTTGAATAAAGAGACATGCAAACAAAGTACTTTTACATCTTTATAAAACCTTGAAGCTTATAATAAACAAGTTTCATCAACTGTTTCGTGCTCAAAGTTGGCTAAAGTGCATACATATTCCATAAAAGATAAATATAACTCTTGCATCAATACTTTTGTAATAACATGACATTTATACATCGACTATAACTCATCTTTATTGGCTTTAACACATGTCATCGACTTTATTCCATTTCGTTAAAAAGGTGTCCCCCAATCCATGAAAATGTCGTTAATATGCTATGCCTCCTAACCCTTGTAAGAACAACAAAAGTTGTGGGTTCCTTTTCAAGAAAAAAAAAGAGCCACACCAATTATTAGAAAAGAATTCAATCATTCTAATGTGCAGTGCCTTTTGAGAGATCATAGTATCTTATATAAAAAATGGTTTAAAAACTTTCTTTATCTTATAATTTCATTTATTTTATTTTTTAATTTTTATAATTTAAAACAAATTTTTTAATTCTTATATTTATGTTTTTTTAATCATCTTTGTCTTATAGTATAAGATATAGACTTTTTAAATCTTTATATTTATTTTTATAATTTTTTTTCCAGTTTCTAATGTTAAGTTCTTTGTAGTACCATTTCTTTTTTATAGAAGTATAAGAGGTCTTTAACTTTATATTTTTTTGTTTAATTTAATTTTGTTGGAGTTATCCTAAAATAAACCTCTCAATGCTTGTGTTTCTTTTTTACTCTCACTTGAGACATTTATCATTGTCCATTGTCTAATTTTTTCATGAATGACAATGTTATATTTTGATGACTTAGTATTCATGTTAATTAATTTTAACAATGTTTTGCGAAAAAAATTGGTCAATGCATGTCTTAGATATGTTATAAGTGGGGTAAAAAATATACCTATGTAGCATTGAGAGACAAAATTTAGGAGGATTTTGACAAAATTATTTTGAAACACAAAATCAAAAAGTAAAAATTTCTGTGAGAAATGATGTTAAAGAAAATTAAGGTAGAGACTAAAAAATATTTTAAAAAATAAGTATAAAGTTAAAAATATTTATTTAAAATTATAATAACTAAAAATAATTAAAAAAAAAAGAGAGAATAAATATATGGATAAAAATATATATTTTAAATTATAAAAACTAAAATATAAAATAAGTAAAATTATAGATACTATTTTAACTTAAAAAAAAACAATTTAAAGATCATAAATGCAAGTAGATATTGTAATGGGGTATTGGGATGTGTATCTACTCTAACACTATCCTTACCTAACCCAGCTCAAAAGGTACAGAGAGAAAATATGAAAAAATTAAGTAAAAAGTGTTATAAAACTCAGTTTGGATTAGCTGGTTCAATAGACAAATTGGTGATTCCGTTGACTCGTTGAGTAACTAATTCTAATAAATTAAGAATCAATTATGCAACAATTTTTTTTTTTTAAATATTAAAGATTATAAAAATAGTAATCAAACAACGAGTTAATATTTTAAATTGGTTTTGCAAAATAGTAATGTAAAATTTTATAAATAAAGTTTAAACTTGTAACTTAATTAACATCACTCATCACACCATTGTATTTATTCTGGTATATTAATGTACAATTTTGGTTTCCTAATGATTTTTTTATTCTTGTAAAATGTATGTTTTTTTAATTTTAATTTAGTTCCTCATTTTTTAATTGTTAGAATGATTTATTTTTATTAATTTTATAGAAAATTTTTAATACCATATTATTTTTCTCAAATACCGAGGGATATAGGAAATATTTGGAATGAAAATTATTTCAAAGGTTAAAAGATGAAAGCTTGGAGGAATTGGAAATAATTTATAAGATATTAAATTATAGTTCTAAAGAAAGCAAAAAATCATTTTTCTGTGTAATTTTGGATGAAATATAATATTTTGATTGATTGATTTTGAGTGGAAATGATTTTAAAA